CCCCCCCCCGCATGTGTATTACCAATTAACGTTCAACCTTCTTCCTTTTTACTTTTCGTCTAATTTCTCTGTTGTTAAGATGGTTTCTCATGTTTCTAACCATGCAAAAAGGCGGTACTTACCAGACCGAGAAGTGACGGTAAACCATTTTTTCCCTCCTTAGCAGCTTAAAGTAGAATGATTTGGTTGTGAATGACTTATTTCTCTATCCTTCCCATTCCATGTATCATGACTAGTGATATTTGTTGCTTATACAAATGTCAAAGTTTGGAGCCTCACAAAATTTCAATCTTACAGATTTCTACTAAATTTAGGTCCCGCAGAATTTCCACTTCCTCCTTGATACTAGTTTATCTGAAAAATGTTTGTAAATTGTTGGTACAATATGTTGGAAATTGTGGGGGAAGACATTTTATAGGAATGATCTACACACCATCTCTATTTCCAAAAAGTGACTTTGGCTCCGTTCCACACTTTGAATCTGATAGGCTTCCTTCCATCTCTCTTCATTATACAGGGAGATAGGACTAGATATTGTGCAATGATCTGATTAGTCCTCCAATCCGACTTGTCTATGCAATGTTCTTTGCCGCTGTGACCCTTTTCTCTATTATTTGTTTGTCTATAGTGAACCTTTAAATCAAATAGTAGGGCCTCTTTAAAACCCTCAAATCCCTCGCTCATACAGAATCTTGGTAGGAGTCATAACCATCTTTTAAATGATCAAGTGGGTACTTCTTGATCTCTTCATTTGTATCTGACTGGAAATTCCTCTGCAGTTTCTCCAATATGTTTGGCAAATGGGAAACAGAGCTATCATGTAATCATCTTTTCTGTAAATTGTATTACAGGCTGAATGTTAAGTCAAAACAAGGTATCATAGTGCCGTGGAAAATTGTCCCAAAGAGCACTTCCAATGCTTGAGGATGCTACATCCAATTTAATGAAATTAGTCCTTTGATCAATCTTAAGAGCATCTAGCAGAGTATGGAGATCGAGTACACTGGCTAGCATCACTACTTGGCTTCTCCGAAAAGTGATGCTTATTCAAGTGAGGGTTTGAAATTGTACACTAGTGATTACAGTTTCATTCTGCACCACTTAGGGGCAGGGTTCGTCCCTCTAGAAGTCTTCCCTTTCTCCAATATTCACAGGTCCACCGTCCACCCTCCTTCAAAAGATTTTAAGAAAATAATTTTTGTCGCATTTAAATACCACGGAGCATAACTCCAAATCACAAAACTTCAAGTCTTTTATCCCTAGCCTCCACAATCTTACCCTTCTCCTTCCGTCCAAGAAATATAAGTAGAGCTTGATATTGGTCCCGTCAATCCGTTCTTTTAGAATTTAGCTGGTCTGATCTAAAGAACTGAGTATCATAACAAAAGTAACTAGATTTTTTATTGGACCAAGTTATCTGGCTCCTCTCTATATCTTAAAGATACAAGAGAAAAAGAGGCTAATAAAAGAGATAGCAGTCAACTCTTTTAGAAGGCATGTGATTGCATCTATTTTGTCGCTGCCTTTTGATTGGCTAAATCGTTTCTATATAGTGTTTTGACGTGGATTTACTTTCATTCACTTGTGTGATTTTAATCCTAAGATTGTTCGTGAAAAATTATTGTTTTTGTCCTTCAACATTTTGCAGAGTATAGTAAAGCTTTAATCTTGTCTGTCTGCATGTCTGTCAGTTGTGAAGGCCGCTGCATACGATCTTTCCATCCGTCCATAGAATCTGGAGTTGAATCTTCTTGTGAATCTCTTGGTTACAGAAATCTACAAGTAGGAGTCTGAAACTTTTGATCCTTGTCCTGGTTTCTCAAATTTTTACTTCTCTCTATATTTGGCATCATGTAAGGGCTTATCAAACTTTTCTAGGAAGTGCTTAAAGTTTTCAGCATATGGTTGTTTGTAAAGTTTTAGCATGTTGCCTTCTTTTAACAATCAAAAGAAGTTTTAGCATGTGGCTGTTTCACAGGCAATCCAGACCTTCTTGTGCAAAAATTGCCAATATCAACAACATCAATGTTTTGCTTGTGGCTTGTTGGGGTCATCTGACAAATCATCTGGTGCAGAGGTTTGAATTTCTTGTCCATTATATACAAATAGGAAAATCTTAAGGGTAGAATCTATAAAATGCCAAAAGTTCTAATTTTCTTCTTTGACTTGAAGATAATATTTCACCTATTTCTATGTTGTAATATCTGTACTTATTGTTGAGATAGCTGATTCTAACAGATTAGCAGATTCCACTAATGATTATTTATTGGAGTTAACTCCTTTTTTTTAATTTATTTATTTCATTTGGTTAATCTTTTGTGGTATGGAAGCCTTATATCATCACTCAATCTTGTTTTATATCTCTCAACATCTATCCCCGACCAATTACGAGCTATGTTGCTCGGACTCTCTCAAAATGTTGCTGGGTGTGTCGGATCCTCCATGTGATTATGACAATATTATGTTATTGTTTTTTTGAGAGTGTGCAGCATAGATTACGAGAAGATTACGAAAATATTATGTTATTTTTGACCTCCTTTTTTGGAGAGTCCGTGCAACATAGATTGCAAGAAGATGAATATTTAGTTATAGTAAACATGTCTTTCACAAAACCATTTTGGGAGCTTTTACATGTGCACAAGTTTGAAAAATCTTAAAGCATTAAGGCTAACACCAGATCTAGACAAAAGGCAAGTAGCTTGGACCTGTATTTTATTTAGGTCTAGCTTCTGTTTGAAATAGAGAAAACGATAAGGCACTTGTAGCATACCATATTTCAATGGATTGACGTAATTTTTCTACCGCGTGTACATTCTTTTTTAGTTGATACCATTTGATACCCATCGTCTGTATAAAAGGCTGCGGAATATAGATTCAAGATGAAATTTACCATCATTAGCCCCTTTTTGATTATTAAGACGTTACTCCCTATGCTTGAAAGTAGATGAACTGATTTGGCTACAGTAAGAAATGTCTTAGTCGTCTAGACTATGCTGGTGTTTGGTTAAAATGTGTCTCAAATAATAGTTGAGATGTGTGAAGTGGCTACGTTCCCAACGGAACAGCGTGATACTTAGTAACAGGTTAGAAGTACATTAATAAGGCCTAATGGAAACAATAATAGAAAAAATATTCAAACTTGATGTTTCAAATATGTGTCCTTTCCCAGTGCCTTTAGTTTAAGAGAAAAAAGAAAAAAAGAAAGACACGAATCTTCTCTTACAGCATCTGTGGAGCAACTGTTTTCTCAATCTATACATGACTTAAAGCTTGTTGAAATTGAGCTGACTCTGTATCTAAATTACAATGGTTTCACAGGGCATTTTCTTAGCTAAAACAGTGATTATCAATTTTTTATGTGTTACCATTCTTCAATTCCGTCAAGAGGCTGATATTGGACTATTGGGTAAGGTGGAGGGGTGTTGCAGCACTGACATGGGGTCTGTGGGAAGCTTATTAAGCAAGGAGGAGCGTATGCTAAATAGGTTTGAGGGATGATTGAAGGAATGAATTGATCAGGTTTAAGGTAAAATTGCTTCTGTTATGAGGATATAGAACCAGATCTGACTGCAGTAAAAGAAATGCAGGAAACCGCTATTTTACAAAAAAACGCAGAAAACCAAGAGAGAACTTTTTTTTTTTGGGGGGGAGGGGTGTGTGTTGCTAGGATTAAAGCGAGTTGACCGTTGACATATCAGATTCTCAAATATACGTTCGTCTTCTACTTACTACCTTCTGAAAAATTGCATGTAATTTTTATCATAAAATAGGAAATGTTTAATCCTCTTGGTCCTTGAATTTGTGGCTGAGCTCCAATTTCCTGCAACTAGGAAGATTTCCTTACCAACATAGCTAATAACTTGCATAAGTTTATATTCCATTTGTCAGCTTCCTGTCACGGAACATACTCAAGGAAACAAGAACATAATCTTTTACCCGTCCGTTCCGTCTGTTTTGCATTTTGCTCAAATGAAGAGCCTCAGAAAGGGGCTGGAGTTTCTGCAATGTTAACCAGAGGCATTTCTGATTCCCAGAATATGGACGAACTGGAAATTGCATAATACTGGAGATACTGATAAATATTTCTTCTACGTATCTGCTATCTCTTCATATCACTGTTTATACTATTTTAATATACAATTTTCTCACCTATATTTTATTTGCACAATGTCCCGAAGGTCTTCCCTTGCGTTTCTGCAACTTGTGGACACTTCTTTCATCCTAAATGCGTCTCAGTGTTACTTTTCCCTGGTGATGAATGTCGAGCCTTAGAGCTGCAGAAGCAAATTGTAGCTGGAGAATCATTTACTTGCCCTGCTCATAAATGTTTTGTCTGCAAGAAAGGAGAGGATAAAAAGACAATTGAGATGCAATTTGCAATTTGTAGACGCTGTCCAAGGGCATATCATCGCAGATGCTTACCAAGGTTTTCCTTAATCCTACTGTCTTGATTTTGAATGCTTTGATCAAATATACTAATGGCGAAAGAGGTATTGGCATCTCATGTTCTGTGTTCTCTTGTTGGCTCTTCTAAGATGTATTGCTTTTGAGCCCTCCGATTATGACAAGAACATCCAGAGAAGGGCTTGGAATGATCTTTTGCCCAGTCGTATCTTGATATACTGTATGTAAGTATCATCTGGAACTTCAGGAATCATGAATATTCATGAGAATTTCTGTTAAAAAAATTTACCAAGCCTACCTCTGCCCAGGGACCACAAGATTATTCCTATAATTGGGACTCCAAAAAGAGACCATATCCTATTCCCACATGTTGTTGGGAAAGCAAACTCACCATCTTCAGGACCTTTGAGGATTCTCTCACGAAAGAGTAAGGTTCTTGGTGCTCTCACTGAAACAAGTGTCGTGAACATGAAAAAGCCTTTTGAAGCGAGGCACAATGCTATTAAAGTTGGTGATTCTTATGGAAAAGGTGCTAAAATGGCTTATACAAGCTCTTGTTCTATAATTGGTCAAACTATTAAGTCTATTAAATATTACATCTTTGTCAGGAAAACCATGTAAGCCTCCAACACAAGAAAGAGGCAAATTGAAGGCGCCACTGGGTACAAAGTTGGTCTTTGCCCCACAAAGTACTTATAGTGGCAAGACAATGAATGTCCGACCAGCTATGCCAGTGATGAAGAAGGCCAGCAGTTCACGGGAATTGGAAGATAATGAAATGAAAAAGAGGTGCTTAAATGGACTTCATCATGTTCTTAAACTTGAATCCTCTTTCCCTTTGTTTCAAATGATATATTCCATCCATGTTAGAACTTTAAATGGATGTTAAATGCATTTTGTTAAACCTATTTACTTTGCATTTTATACAGAATGATGACTTTGATAAAAAACTCTACCTCTTCGTTTAATGTGGAGGAATTTATAAATGAGCAGAACCGGAAATGTATCGATAGTAACTCTCGAAAAGTTTTCACAGACAAGGCCATTACCTTGGGAAAAGTTCAGTGTTCCGTGAAGGTATATCTACTAGTTCAGCATTGAAGAGATGTACTCATGAATTTTGAATTTTTCTTCTAATTTCTTCTGCAGTCTCCTCTTATAGAAAATCTGTCCTCTTTATGTTCTGGACCAGGCTATTGGAATAGCGTTGAAGAAACTAGAAGAAGGACACAGCATTGAAGATGCGAAAGCTGTCTGTGAACCAGAAATTCTCACTCAGATTTTCAGATGGAAGGTTGCTCCATAGGACCTAAAAATGTTCTTACACATGAACACAGGCTTTCTATATTCTTGCTCCTGACTTGATGTATTATTTTCTGATTTAATTTGTTGACAAGTTTCTTGCTCGAATGTTTTATGCTGTGTGGTGAAGTATGTTCCCCTTGGTGGGTCATACATAGGAAGTGCATGTCATGTACAACAAATCTGAAAGAAAGAGGAGTGTTGATATGGCATATCAGAGATACTTGTAACCGAAAGAAAGGATAGGGAAAGAGCTTCTAGGTTTTAAATCAAGCCCGACAAAAAGTGTAACAACCCCTAGTTCTCTCTCGAATTGCTTGGACTGGATGGTGGTGATCTAGTTGTAGGAGTATATTAGAATATTGATTCTAGTAGTTGCACCAATAGAATTCTGATGCACTTTGACAAGTTCCCACATGTGATTAAACAAGATGCTTGTCATAGCTACTGGTTAACTGACTCCATAGGAACATGAATTATCTTGTGCAGAGAATATAACTCCCTTTGATGGTCTAGCTGATACCTAGTCTAAAGATCAAACCAAAATCTGCCTCAGCTGCTGGAAGTTGCTGCATTGATGCGTGCTTGAAAACTATATCCTCTATTAGCTCGTGGAAAAGAATCCCTAGCTATTCTTTCTTATGCACTTTTTAGGTTTCTCTGGATCGTTTCTTGCTTAAGACTAGACAAATATTCTGTACCTAAAGGTAGTCCCTGAACTTCCACGCGTTGCATCACAATAAGTTATGCATCACGGCAATTAAAGTTTTTATTTCCATGAATATTGTTAACTTTTTACGAGTTCCACATTCTTATTAGTGTGAAAAGATAGATTCTTATTGTATGTCAGCATTTGGAGAATTGGCACTATTGCTTTTGTGTTAGAGTGGAAATGTAATTTTTTTTTTGGGGGGAAAATGCTTATTTGGTTCACCTTGATGTTCTCAATATCTCGTGTATAAGGAGAAATAATGATCTTGAAAATTATTAAAGGAAGATGTAAATCTTAGTGTCAATAACCTATTCTTACAGTGAGATATGGTTGATGGGGCATTTCGTGGTTGTTTTTTATGGACGATTTGATGAATGATTTGCAAATATTTCATTTTCTGTCTTGGATGTTACAGAAGAAGCTAGGATCTTATCTTGCCCCTTTTCTTAATGGCATGCGCTATACATCTTTCGGTCGCCACTTCACGAAGGTGGACAAACTGAAGGAGGTATGCACTTCTTTTACATTTTTTATCGGATCTTGTATCTCAATGGAAGTGATAATAAAGCTGCATTGTACTAGTAACTAAACTCTGTCTTCCATCTTCATAATTTTTCTAATCGATGCAACTTTAAAACTTACTCGATAAAGCCAGTGTACTAGTAAACCCTGTCTTCCATCTTCACAGCTTTTCTAATCAATGTGACGTTAAATCTTACTCCAGAAACATTCTACATTACGGAACAGATGAATACCCTGGAATTTCGTATGCATGTTTTCAGTTCTCTAACAAGGTTCACCAGGAGTGCTTCTTGAAAATAATTAGAGCAGTATAATTTTGGCATACGATGTAAAAGTTACAATAGTAAACATTTTCGACACTAATAAAAAGACTAGGTGATTCTTCGCATGTGCCCAAGCCTTGGTGGGGAGAGTTACTAGGTACCTGTGATGTTGGAAGGTAGCGGGCACCTGGCCGAATATTAGAGGTGCGCAAGCTGGCCCGAACACTACCGTCACCCAAAAAAATAAGAGATTTCAAATGCTCTCTCTTGTTTGGCTAAAAGAGTCAAGATAATCTTTTGGAATGTTGTAATAGAATATTATTCATGATTATGTCTCTTGCACTTGCTGGACAAAAAATTATATTCTGTCCCACTACTCTTTGTTGCTTGTACTGATTAATGGCATCAGGCTTAATTATGTGTTTTATGCAAATTAGAGGCTGAATTATAGCATGACTTTCCATATGCAGGTGGTTAATAGACTAAGATGGTATGTGCAAGATGGTGACACGGTAAAAAGTCCATATGATCTTCTTTATTTCCTTATAGTTGTCTCTCATCTTGTATTAGCATCATAACCTGCCTATCTTTTCTTTCTTGCTATTTGTTTTTGGTGGGTGGGGGTGGGGGGAGGGATTGCTTGGCTTAAGGAATTGGGTGAAAGTACAGGTGGGGGGGAGTAAACTGTATTATTATTTTTTTTTTTTGACTTGCAGATAATTTTGAACTTCCAAAACAGTTTCCAGTCGCCTAATTCTTGTGAAATTCAATATGTTCTTCTAAGCTTTGTTATTGAAATGATAAAAGTATAAGCCAATAAGATCTAGTACAATCTCAGTCTATCTCTGAGTGTTTTTGAGTATTTGCAGATTTAGTGAAGTTATTTTCTTTGCTCCTTGTATTAGTATCTCCTCTTTTCTCCATAGATCCAACTTCTTGACCGTTGCAGATCATAAATGCTCTTGCTAGGGAATTTAAAATCTTCATGCTAGTCTGCAGCTTCTTGTACTCCTAATTTATCTCCTTGTTGGGACTCCACTTTGGTTACTAGACGTAGTCATTCAATTATTCTCCTTTTGTTGGAACTTCACGCTTGCTCATCAAATGCATCAGCTTTCTTGAATTTCTTCTGAATTTTACTGCTTTTCTTCCTTGGACAACTTTAATAATGAGTTTGAAAGGGTCTTGCGTTGATCTTATTCGGGTTATCACGTTTTGTCTCCATTTAGAGCAACATTTGATTCAACTTCTTTGTGTCATTTGATCTAGTCGGCTTCGTCGTATATTGTTGTCCTGCTAAGACAGATTACAAACTCTTAACAGATTCTTTTACTCCTTCAATTTTTTCATCATTAAAATAATTCTTAGGGCCAGCAGTGGGGAATGAAATTTGTTTCAGAACCTTTGGTTTTACCGGCGGGTGCCTTTACCATTCAGCAAACCTCATATAAACATCTCTTCCCAAACACCTTTTGCTTTGATTTTTTTTATTTTAAGTTCTTCCTTCTCTTAATCTTGTTCGAAGGAATGCAGCTTTACATATTTCTTTGAATACTGAGGCTTTCTTGTTCAGATAGTGGACTTCTGCTGTGGCTCCAATGACTTAAGCTGCTTGATGAAAGAAGAACTAGACAGAATGGGGAAAAAATGCCAATTCAGAAATTTTGATCTCATACAACCAAAGGTAAATTATTTTATAATCATCATATTAGCTTCCTTCATGAGTTGTGATTGTTAAATCTGAACAGGTGAACCAGATTACCTCTGGGAATTCTATTTTTTGGTAAAAGGGGTAGTAAAATTGTTGAGTTCTTTCTAATTTTCCTCTTGCAGCAACTCTTCTTGACTAGGCCCTTCCTGTTACAACTAGCTAGTCTTTTTTACTCCAGTCAAACAATACTTGTGATTTGTTCGTCAATCAAATGCTTACAATATAAAACTCGATAACCAGCATGTGTGTTATTGCGCAAATAAAACCCACTGTGATGGCTTGTAATTAGAAGAAATATGAAAAGGAATGTAAATATGCATTATGTTTTTTTTTAATCATGTGTAGTTGAGGGATGAGTTTTTCTTTAAGGGCATGGTGAAGTTTCTAAGTGCGAAAATATTATTTAGCTTCAGTCCATGTTATCAGGCACGGGATAGGTTGAAGAGACCGATCCTCCAATGTCACTTGGAAAATGGCTCGTAGACAAGAGATATCACCAATGTAGTAAGTTGTTTCTACTATTGGACAAAGGCCATCCTTGTCAATTAAGTTTGTAGCCACTTACAATGCTCACTAAGATGCTCCATTAAGTTACCAAGTCCAACCTAGTCAACTCGACTTGGTTAAATAGTTTGTGACTCGTGAAAAGGACTATAATTAGTCGTGATCAAAGCTCAATCGAGTCACTGAGCTATAGGCAGTATTTAGTTTGTCGAGCCTACTCAAAAGCACATCACTACAACGTTATTTAGTATGAGCGATTCACGACATTTCAGATGTCGGTGAGTTTGTAGTTTCATATAGGTATGAGAGTATGACAGCACATCTTCCTTTCATGGAATCACTATGATCTTTTGATTTTAAAGTCGTTAGATCTTAAATTTATCTCAACTCACTGAGTAATACATAATCCAGTCTTAAGTTTATGTCTTTTAAACTGTTGTTTAACTAAATCTGTGTGTTTTGATGCTTCACAATAGCACGCATCTGATTGGTTTCCGGAGATTGATACAGATATGGACTCTTTATTTTTCGTTTATTTTATTTATGCTAATTTTGCAACCGTTGATTGAACTAATATTATATTAAGAACATCATCCTATAAGTTACAAAACAGCAGGTCGATCGACTTGGATATTGTATGATAGATTGAACGATAGTGGAAAGGGAAAGGATAAAAGTTAACGCATTTGTAATCTATGTTAGTCTCCTCCTTTGTACTTCCTAAACAACCTACAAATATGAAACCTTCATCCAACTTTTGCTAGAATTTCTTCAAGTCCACATTGCCCTTGTTAGATCATTTGCTTTGTATTTCATTAACTTAGTGCCTTCTCTAATTATGCTTTGTAAGTTAATGAACGGCTTCTTGGGATTTCTTAACTCTCCAGAATAATTTCAACTTTGAGAAGAGGGATTGGATGACTGTTGGTTTAAGAGACTTGCCAGAAGGATCCAATTTGGTATGTTGGAAACCATCGGCTTTGCATAACTTGGTGTGACTTAAACATTGTTTTGAAGCTTTACCAATCTTACCTTGCATCTTGAATAGATCATGGGGCTGAATCCTCCTTTTGCCTCGGCAAATGAATTTGTAAGCAAGGCTCTTACATTCAGACCAAAGCTTCTTATTATTACTGTTCCGAAAGAAACAAAAAGGTGAAGATTTAAATTATGAAAACTGCAAGTTCAGTGATTATCTGCTTACCACCTGATATATCAATTATCTGCTGTTCCAGACTTGATGAAAGAAGAAAGAATCCATATGATATAATTTGGGAAGATGACATTATCTTGGCTGGCAAGGTGCAAACAATTGAAATCCTAAGATTTTTATCGCTCATTTCTCTTACGAATGCGAGTGTGATACTAGTTTTTTTTGTTATGCCAGTCCTTTTACCTGCCAGGATCAATTAATGTGCATAACCAGCAGATGGAGCAATGGAACATCAACTCCCCTCCATTGTATCTGTGGAGTCGCCCAGATTGGACTGCTAAGCACAAAGCAATAGCTGTTGAGCACGGGCATATCAGGAAAGATAGCCAAAAGTGGGAAGAAGAAGAAAACAAAGTAAACACAGGAATCACAAATTACCTGATGCAAGAAACGCATGATTGCTATGGTGACTTTTCTGACATTGTGACCAGCTGTGGTGACATCAATAGCTTGCTGGATGATATCCCTGAGATATCTATTGGTGCTGATTATAATCAGAATCAACCTTTTGGCATTCCTGAGCAGGAATATGGCTTGAGCAATAGACAAGAGGTGCTTGGCTACGAAAGTAAGGATGCAAGTGAAACACTGCGAGCTGAGGAAATGTGCATTGACATGGAACTGTCAACTCCAACGGGATCCCCACTTCACTAAAAGATGAAGTGTCTATTCTCAATGGTAGGCCTTCGTCTTTCAGTTCAGTATTGACCACTCATACCATTTTGCTAATATACTTGAGCATGATAGAAGTTAGCTTTTATGTCTTTTCTTTTTGGTACTGTCACTCGAAGTGGAAGGATCTGACAGTCTAAATTTGCACATTAAGGATGTGATCTTGGACACAATTCCTATATACTGGTAGGCTGGTAGCTGTGCATATCTGTATGTAGCCTTTAGTAGGAGACTTCAAGGGCGGCTCTAGGGTAAGGCACGTGAAGCCCTTGCCTTAGTCCCCCAAATATTTAAGGCCCCAAAAATAAGAAGACTACTATATTGTTATATAATATATAGTCCATGATTTATATTTATATAATTATTAATAAAAGATTTCAAATTTTAATAATTTTTAACATTTGGTAGACGTAAGATAGAATGAGTTAATTGGGTTAAATTTTTCTCATTAAATTAAATAATGTATTTACCTTCTCATCAACTTTATTTTTCTTCCTTTATGTATAGTCTTTTTTCATGTTTCTCATGATTTTACTTTCTAATTTCAACTAAATTCTCTAAATTAACCATTCCTTTTTGTCCATTTGATTGATCCACACACCAGAAAGCAAGTTCTTTTGTGTCTCATATTTTTTAACTAAGAAATCCTCGAGACAAATGTTGCAAGGTTCAAAACACGATGGATAATGGGCTCACCCTTTACCATTTTCACTTAAGGGAAGAATGAATACCATATGATGCGCGCTTAACTCATACATCATGAGTTGCGCTCGCACCACTAGATCAAAGTCATGGAGGTTTTTTTGTGTCTCAATATTATATGGATTTTATAAAAGAAGTTTCAGGGTCTTTTTAATATATTTTGGTTTTAGGCCACCAGTTCTGTTGGGCCGCCCCTCATTGGCGATCAACAATTATTTACAGACTACTGCCCCACCATGAACGTATTGTTCAACCAGCTTCATTCACATTTGGTAACTGAATGACACACCCACTGCCATTAATGTTGTTGTTATTGTTGCCTTATCTTAAGTGGAACTCTATAAATTTGATTGAGAATGTTATGGGTGGACAAGTAGCTCTAGTAGGAGACTAGTAAAGCCCTGATTTAGGTCTCCCAAAATTTTTAATAATGGATTTTATAATTTTATTTCAAATTAGACAATATTAATATTTGCAGTAAATAAAAAAGTACAAAAAAATTTGTAAAAAAGAAAGAAAGGTGTCTACTCTTTAACAGTAAAAATATTTTTAAAACTTTGAATTAAACTACTTAAATCTTCATATTTTACAACAATATCAAAGGTAACATATTGCAAATACATGTCTAACATCTCATTTATTTAAATTATCTTTCTAATATAAATAATAATATTACTATACGAAGTTGAAGACTTTATGTCATTTAAGAATATATACTATAAACAACAAGTACCAAAAAAATGGCAAGATTAATTTTTTGCATATATGTGTATATACGTACTAATAAAAAAAGTATAAGACCTCTTATTAAAATTGGTTTTAGGCCACTAATTTTATGGAGCTTCCCTCTGTAGGAGTCCGCAAAAGAGAAGTCGTGGCAAGCGTAACCTATTTTGGACAGACATTGAAATCCACTTTGAAAGTAGGATATACTGAAATCTTGGTGGCATTGCGAGTTCATTCTCAGCTCTTTGAACACTAGTCTGATCCATATCTGCACTATGTACACCTTTATAGCTTTACGCTGAGTTTTGCATGTACCGTCAAAGAAATGGAATTTTTATTTAATCCCACTTCACCGGCTTATAGATTACTGTATATTGAAAGAAGGGAATTCTTATTCTGCTAAAGTTAAAGTAATCTAACGTATGAAATTACATGATTCTTTATTTATTATTTTTAAAAGGCAGAATACATAGACAGATACTTTAACTATCATACAAATTCCACTTGAACATGTCAACTAAGCCATTTTCCACCGAAACACTTTTACTATACCTTTACTACACTATTTTAACACGTCCGAATGACATGGCAAATAACGTGAACATTATTGCTTTTGAGCGCGTGGACATTAAAAATATGCTGACAAAAACTATTTCAACGGTACAATAAAAATGGTAAAACACCCTTTCCCTATTATATAATTAAACCCTCATCCCCTTTTACCAGCCCTAGTTCTTCACCCTTCTCTAAAAAATCTAGCCCTATTTCTTCACCCTTTTCTTGATTTTCTTGTTTAAAAATTCTATTCTTCTCTCCAAATCAAAAGTAGTCTCACCGTTTGTGTTCGAATCTTGGCTTAAGCTCTCAATTATGTCTCTCACACCAAGAGTAGATTCATGCCGGTGTGATCATGAATGTCAATTGAAAACTTCATGGTCTCCATCTAATCCTGGAAGGAGGTTCTATGGATGCAAAATTAAAAAGGTAAGTAATAATTAACTACAATTAATTATTTTTACTATTTTGTTCCCGAATTTAGTTTAAATGAATTTTTTTTGAAGGACAAAGGTGGATGTAATTATTTTAGGTGGTTTCACGACGAGTTTCCTAGCCAAGCGAATAGGGTTATTTGGGGTTTACTGAACAAGGTCAAAGCTTTTGAAGAAGAAACGGGTGAAATTGTTTCTCCTGGGAGGCTCACGAGGGCGTGGATTATGTTGATGGTTGTTTTGTCGTGGACGGGGGGGTTATACAGAGCTTGGTAGGGATGGTTATTTCTGGGAGCTGGAGCTCGGGCTTGGTTGTAGTGCTGTTGTGGCCGTGTATAGGGCTGGGTATTCATCACCGCATAGGGAGGCGGTGCCACGGCATAGGCTGCATCTTGGTGTGGATAGTAGTGTTGCGGGGTTCTTGGCGGCATGTAAGAGTGATCAAATGATCGGCGGGGCCTCTTGAACCCGAAGCCATCATGGCTCCTTCCTCCCTCTTTTTACGACTAGCTAAACCCCTTGAGCCATTCTGGATGGCTTGGGAGGTAGCTTTCAAAGCAGCTTGACTCAATATCCGGCCAGTTTTCAGACCGTTCTCTACCATTTCCCCGATTTTGACTACCTTTGCAAACGGTTTGCCCATGAAGGACATCATATTCTGAAAATAATCGGCCTCTTGGGTTTGCAAGAAGACTGTAACCATTTCGGTCTCATCCATAGGCGGTTTTACTCTGGCGGCCTGCTCGCGCCATTTGATAGCATATTCACAGAAACTTTTCGCGGTTTTCTTCTTCAAGTTAGACATGGAGTTCCTGTCTGGAGCTATGTTGACATTGTACTGGAACTGTCTGACAATCTCGTGCTAAATTATCTCATATGTGCCAGTGGGAGATTTCCTGATCTATATACCATTCCGAGACGATTCCTGTCAGGCTCTCCCCGAAATAGGCCATCAACAACTCTTCTTTCCCACCAGCCCCTCGCAACTGATTGCAGTATCTCTTAAGGTGACCAATTGGGTTTCCATGCCCATCATACTTCTCAAACTTTGGCATTTTGAAGCCGGCAGGTAGATGGACATTTGGGAACATGCACAAGCCTGAGTAGGAAATACTTTTTTGGCTACTCAGGCCTTGTATATTTTTTAAGCTTTGTTCTAGGCTTCTCATTTTCCGAGCCATATCTTCCTGCTCGGGGTTCCTTACTACTACTTTTTGTTCCATTGGGGACTCATATTGCGGATGCTGAGGGTATGAGTCTAGAGTAACATGAGTTGTGTCTGGCTGAAATTGCGGGCCTTGGAAGCTGAACGTTGAAGGCTCAAAGCATGGCCTAAGCACGATTGGTTGTGCCATGGTAAAGACTGGTGGTGTGGTGTACAACATTGAAGGTACCCCTAAAAATGGTTCTGGGGCGGACTTCAGAAGGCATACCGGTAAAGTTGGCTGACATAGTAGGGTACCCAAAAGGGACGAATGGGTTGGACATGGGGATGGGGATGTTGGTGGTTCCACCTGTCCCGGGGATCAACTCGGGAAATCCAGGGATTGTACTTGGTGGTTCTCTCCCATTGGACCAGGCGTCCCACATTTCCAACATGTGGAGACGCGACCTCTTGTGCTCTTCGGTAGTTGTCGATTCAGGCTGTGACATAACCGGTGTAACATTATCTTGTGGATCGCTGATGCAGAGACTGCTTTCTGAAGACATTGGGACACTTCCTTTTGATCTTGTAAAGTAGAGGTGAGAAGCTAGATTACCATCAAAACCATCCACCTAAACAAGACCTGTCTTATTTGGCACACACAACACCCTTGTCAGTTTTGAGACATTTAACAGATAGGGAATCGCACATTGGCGATGTAATGCACCTGAACAGTTAAACGTTTCTAAATATTTTTGCAACGGCTGCGTGTTTCATCCCGGCTTTTGCTACCTCTTTTCTCATTCTGTAACTCTTTTCTTTCAATCCATTTTTCATATCTTGATTTCATTTTCTTTCTTTTGTTATTTTTCGCTCTTTGTTTTTCTCTGTTATTTTTTCACTCTTTCCTTTCTTTTTCTTTCTTCTCTCTTTTTCACTCCATTTAATTAATGGCAATGATCGAATCCGATGGGGATTGCCTACGTATCATGATGCTGTATGAATCAGACCATTACATAGTTCAGGGGAATAAATGCAAAATGAAAGTAAAGAAGTTTTTTTGTGTGGGGTTTTTCAATATTTCATTAATAAAATCTTTTTGTTTTTTTCCATTACAAAGACTCGGAAGTACTGAAGACTAAAAAAAGAAACATACAGACTTAAAACAAAACAACAAACATACTCGACATGGGTGAAAAGACGAATAGACTCGAGAAAAGTAAAATATAGACTCAAAATCTGAAAAATCAAGAATACATAAGAGCCTCAAATGCTATTCTGGGGGCCCGCGGGACATCAGTCGATCTCGATGCGGGACTATGTGCAATCTCTTCCTGGAGGAGCTCTAGATCGGCTATCACCTGGCGAGCGAAGATTATCACGGAAGCAAAAAACATAGATCTGGTCATATCCTCACACTCATGGCATTTCATTGCAGCGTAATCAACTATTTCTTTGATTCTCATTCTAATGACACCCTTTTCTTGGAGCAAACATCCAATTTGATGTGCACGGGCTTCTAGCACTTCCATGGCTGTGTTGATTTGGTCTTGCAATTTCTGCATGCTCTCTTCTAATTGGTAAATCAGTGCATAACATTGTTCTCTTTCTGTTTTGAAGTCCTTTGTTTGCTGAACCATTTCATTTTCAAGGGTGGCCAGCTTTTTTTCTTAAAATCGTGACTTCTCTATCGTACTTCTATTTTAATTGGTGGGCTGACCTTGCTTGTTCTCCTACACCTTTTGCCAACTTTGCTCGAGCTTTTG